CCAGCCAAAATGTGCCCCCCTTCACTTAGGCACACATGGAGATGTTTCCTTTTACATCCACAAAGATGTGGTCTGTGGTGGGAATCAGGAGAGTTTCTGAGAGTCTCTAGGGAAGGCTGGAGGGAGAAGGAACTCACTGGCACCCCAACAGTGTCTCCTGGGCTGATTTCAACACCCCTTTGATAACGGACATTGAGAAGGAGCTGCTGGAAGTTTTCAAAGGCCCAATGTCACTCTGATCAGGACAGCTGCATGAGGCCCAGATACAACAGTCACCCTACATCACCACTTCGTTACAGAACCCACATAAGGCCACAGGCTCCAGGACTCTCAGGATTAGCACAGCAGCACCCTGGAATTTGTTAGAGATGCAATTCTCTGGCCCCCCACATGAAACCAGATGCTCTAAGGGTGGGGCCAACCAACTTGGGTTTTAGTAAACCTTCCTTTTTGTTCTGATGCAACCATGTGGGGATTTGCCTGCAAAGTTTGAGGTTCCCACTCCCAGGTTCATAAATTCAGGGACTGCACAGGAATGAACCTGGAAATAAGGCCCACCTTAAATGTTGTCACCTAAGCGTACCATGTGATCTAGGCCCTGAGAAACAATGTTTCAGGAGGATCCGAAGACCACACCTGGTCACCCAGACTGATGGCCACTTTCCTCATGTATTAGTGAGTCTTGAACAAACTGATTTGAGGGCACATGAGAGGTGTACGTATGGGATCCACTCCAGAAACTCATGAAATCACTTGGCCATGGTGGGGTTGGGGTAACTTCAGAGGGAGGTCTAGGCTTCTCCTATGCCCATGGAAACCAGAGTCAGCAAACCTCTGGCTCCTAGGAATCAACACAGCCAATATCCACTGAGCATCTCTGCTTACTATACCTGCAGCCAAGCCCCTGCTTTCTCACACTCTCTCAACTCTCAGTGCAAAGGAAGGTTTCATGATCCACATTTTGCAAAAGAAAACTTAGATAAAATGTCTAAATAATATGCATCATGTCTCCGGGTAAGTAGTGGACTGGGAATTAAACAGGCACTACCACCACTCAAATGTCTGGTACCTGCCCCGGGATCAGTGGCTTCCCAGGTGTGACTCCAACTTGCCCCCTGCCCCAGACAGCTGCCTCATCGGTGTCCCTATTTGCCCCTCCAAGTTTGCCTTCACACCTTGTACTTTGTCTATATCCAAATTCCCAGACAGAACCTGGTGATTTGTTTTTTCTGCCCTAGACTTTGAAACCTGCAGGATTGCTCCTGGCTCCTGGGGTTGACTGGTTGGATCCTTCCACGTAAGTCCTTGACCTGGGCCACCAGGATGGGGCAGCCTTACTTCAGTCAGACCTGCTGTGCTTTGAACACCACTTTTAGTGGTGTCCCCTCTTTAAGTGGAATCTCATGAGGACCCAATATTTACAAAGAATGTAGTTTATTGCCCCCCCTGAAGCACATTTATATAGTGAGAAGACAGGGTTCTATACTTAGAGCCACAGACACAGAGGAATGCCCACTCCCAGGTCAGTGCCTTCCGGGAGATGGGGCAATGCACTCTGGCAGTTCTCAGTTATACATGGCATCTCCAATCCTGTGACCACTGAAAAGTGGACAGACATCTCTAACTCTCAGGTCCCCTCTTTAAAAATGGGGATCCTAATGCCCTTGTTGTCCCATGACTTCCACGCTCTTACCACGTCTCACCTGCTCACGCATAGTGTGGAGCACCTTGCTCATTCACTCGGAGCCTATCCATAAGGCTGAATGGCCGAGGGGTGGCAACCAGCTGCTCGGGCAATGGAACATTTACCCAGGGTGACTGCTCTCTGTTGATTCATTCATAACACTATGATCTGCCTATTTCAAGGCCAATGGCTTGCAAGAGGCAAGTGTGGCTCAAGAAAAATGGAGGCTGGGGTTTGGAAAACACGAGGTTGGAGATGCAGCCTGCTGAAGAGGGACGGTGGCTGCACGTCCTATTCTGGAGGTTTAGGGAGGCTTTTGGAAGTGCAAGGGTCTGTCAGGAATACTCCATTCTGATTCCAACTGTGATTCCTGCAAGGATACTCTACCCTGAGTCCCAACCTGCCCTTGGACTTTCAGGCATGCACTGTTCTAGAGTCGGGCCAGGCATCCACTGCCTCCTTCTTCAAGGCCAGAAGATGTGGTAGTTGTCCCATCATTGAGATGCAAATTGTCAGCCTGTTCCCTAGGCTCAATCTCAAGGGTGTCTGTGAACTTGTTCCAGCTGGCAGCACCCTGGCTCCATCTCAAGGGCCACTGCCTAAAGCACCCTGCCAAGGAGCCTCCAAAGGCTCTGGGAGGGCTGCTCCTCTTCTGGGAAAGCCACCGGCTCTCCCGTATCTGCAGCCTCCAGGCTCTCCCACACCTGCTGCCACCTGACTTTCCCACATCTGCTGCTCCCATAACTAGCACTTAGAGCCCCAAAGTGTGTAGGTGCCCAAGGAGGGCCACAAGGAGGGGCTAGTAGAGCTGAGAAGGGGTGGGGAGCCACTCTGCAGAGGCCCAGAGGGGACCTGGGGGCCTAGAGAAAGAGGCCGAGAAGGGGTCTGGGAAGGAAGACCAGATCGTGAGCCAGGTCAAAGGCTGTCTGCTCTCTGTGGACTTCCCAGACCACAGCCCAGACTCTTCCTGAGTCCCCACCTCTCCCACCACCTCCCGCCCCCACCTTCAAGCAGCAAAGACTTTGCACTTGCCCTTAAATCAAGTTTACATTGATTAACATATTAGAAATAAAACATAAAAGTCAGAAACCACCTAATTTTCTAACCCCTGTCCCTCTCCAACAAAGGTTAAATATGAGTTCAAGAAAAAATTAATCAAGCAAACCTTCTACCAGAGTATTCCCTTCTGTAAGAGATGCTGTCTGGCAAATCAAGAAAAACGTACCATATACCCTCTAAACTAAACACAATCCCTTATTATACAATTAACCACAACACAATTGTATGTAATACAATTATACAGACTACAATTACACAAAAGTAATGATGCAGTGTGGATGGCAAGGACTTTCATGTAATCGAAAATAATGAAGGCTTCCTTGATTAGAAATTAAGGCATCATAAGAGAGCCCTATTGATAAATGTTCCCCCTATCGATCTACACTTTGCAAAAGGCTGTGCTGGCTTTAGAAGGCAGATGCTTCCCCCATCATTGATAAAGATGATAGGGATGACAACCACTCCAAGCAGTATCTTTTATTCTGTGGTCTCTAAACTAGCACATGCTAATAAAGCACACATTTTATTACTGCTTTTCCAGCTGGTCAAATAGAAAGAAATGAAGCAGAAAAGCCAGGAAGCCTGTGTGCTGTGCTGGCCCCGAGCGCAGTGTTATTAACAGAGAAACATGCACATTAGGTCTCACCGGAACATATGAGTCATTCTGAGCATGAGCGGACTTCTCTGCATGGATCTGTGTGCCATGCAGTGGAGGCACCTGCTGGTTCTCAGCACTGCTCTCCAGACTGGGGCGGCCTCTGTCTCTGGCAGGAGCACCTTCTTGCTATTCCCTATCTGCTAAGCAAATCTGCCTGCCTCCCCCTCAGTCTCACCTAGCACATGGAGACACACGCCAGAGGCACACAGTTCTTATACTGGGTACTGGTAATTGGTCCTGGGCCACATCTCTACCACGATCCCATCACATGCTCCATAGAAATGGCTTACCATCGCATCAACCTACATTTTATTGAATCGAAGACATTATTAAGACATGCCATTATAATAAATGCAACTAAGAAAAATAGATGTTGCCAATCAAACTGTCACATACCATCGATTATAAAATGCATCCCAATATTAGAGGTTTTAAATGAAGAACAGGAGCCTTGAATTGATAAAATTCTGATAAGCCATGATCCCTCCAACTTCTTGCTGTCCCCAAATTCATCCTGCCAACTCATCCTACACAAACACCTCCATTCCTCAGTCAGATCAGCCTGTCCTTCAAGATTAGTTGACACCCCTTCCTGGAGCCTTCTTGACCTCATTCTTATGAGGTTACACTAAGCTGATGTTGCCATGTGACCCACAAATAAGAATGCATACCTTGGGTCATTTATTGCACTTTACTGTAACAGCTAATTTATTTCCTGAAGACACATGAACAGAGATGCATACAGGCAAACACTTAGTATATACTGTTCACCCTTTAATGATATTTTAACTGGGGTGAGTAGAACTGGAAGCACTTAGCATATACTGTTCACCTTTTAAGTGATATTTTAACTGGGGTGAGTAGAACTGTAAGAATGAAACAGGTCAGGTCAGTGCTTGAGAAGAAATGGGAACATGATCGACTTGGCTGAAAATCCAGCATCAATCCTCTTTAATTTTCTGCAGTATGTCTTTAAATCTAGACACTTCAAATATAAGAAGAGCCAGGAGCGGTGAAGAGAGAAACTGAGCTCTTGTTACAGGTGTGGGTTGCATAAGAAATGGCTGCTTCTCTCTGCCAGGCTCTCATGTCTTCTGGGACAAAGAAGCAGTGGTTTAGGGGCAGTGACAGCGAAGGCCAGCTGCCCCGGGAGCCTCTGTGGACTGGGGGGCTCTGCCAGAACCTTGTTATTGGATTTGCAGATGGCCTGCTGCTCATCTGTCTATTAGAAGCACCGCTCTCTGCAGCAAAGAATGAAATAGTTTAGGGGAGAAGGCATTGCTCCCTCCGTTTTTCTTCACTCTTAACTTCAAAGTAATCAAATGTTTATGCATAAAATTTTAATCCTGTCACAAATTTGTATTTTGATTTAATTTGCATATCCCATTTACAACAAGTCAACATGAAGAGAGACTCGACTAATTTAAACCATTTTTCTTTGGGCCTGAAATCCTTTCAGAAATATTTTCCATTAGGCGACTCAATTATGTCTAATGTGGCTAATATCAGAAGATTAGAATTTTGCTTAAGGAAACTCATATTTAGAACAGTGAGAATGGGAAGGGGGTGGGAGAACAGAGAAGAAGAGACAATAATTACCTGTCTTTGATGCTACACAGATCAATGTGTAAATCACTAAAATTCCCCAGGGAACCTTGCTGAACTGAAATGAGGTCCTTGGGCTGGTTATCAATAAAGATGAGCCTCATGCAGCCTTGGAAAGCCTTAATGGGATTTAAACATTGGGAATCGGTGAGATTGTCGGGGCACCCTGTGGGACAGAGAAAAAAAATGAAGAAGAATGCTGAAACGGTCAGTCATTGCTTTGGAGACCTATCGAGGGAAGACTTTACGGTCGGTCGTGGTGCTTTATCACTCACAGAGGCACATCCGCTTTTGTTGTAAATCCCAGCCTCCTTAGAGGGGGCACAGTTGGTATGAAGTGGGCCACACTCTCTCGCTGTGCGGGACAAACACCGGAATGTGCTCATGGGAATCCCCGCGCCACAACGTGTGTCCCCGTCTCACTTCTTGTTTCCTCCGGGCAAGCTGTTTGCCGATCTTCGGCGTGGCATCCTTCCTCATCACAAAGCTACACATCGTCAGTGCTTGGGAGCCTGAGCTCTGTCTGACACACACTTCTAAATGCAGAGTTCAGTTCTGAATTACACTTTAAAGGAATTTATGCTTTGGGCAAGGATGGTGGTGAAGCACTGGCTGGTTAATTGTTAGCATTAACAGACTTATTTCCTGAGAACGGTACACACGTGAAGGTCATTGGAATTTTGAAGTGATGCAGAAAGCAAACCAAGACGCTTGAGGAGCTACGGGTTTACATGTACACAGCGATACGGCCGTGATGGCACGTGTGCAAGGTGGTGCCATGCCTTTATAAAGGGTGTTCTTGAAAAACCTGCACCACACTGACTCAGCGTAGCCTGCAACCAGGGCATATCTACTTCTCCTCAAGACGGACATGGAGCCATGTAGGCCCACGAGCGCTGTGCTCTTCATAAGCTCCATCCAAGTGGTTTTAATGGGTTCTGAGCATATGGGAATGCAAGCTTGAAAACATGGCCCTAACCCATAAATAATTGGGAATTATTTCAGCCATCTCTAATAGATAGTCACCGCTGGGCACAGCCCGGCAGCTGGCTAACTGCTCACAGGCACACCATAAAATGAAGAGAGATGCTACAACTTCTAATTGAAGCTGTAGAGAGGATTTATGAAAGTTGACTATTATTACTCGAACTCATTTTTCACCTTCCTTAAGTACACAGACTACGTGTGGGGCGTTTATTTAAGCACCATTCAAATCCCAGATACATCTTCACCTGGCAGGCCCAGAGGCCCTTCAGACCCACCTCCAAGAACGCTTTTTCAATGGGGAAGGGAGCCATTTTGCCTTTGAGGCATTTCAGATGCTTCGGTACCATAATAATTCAACATCGTTTTCCCCAGAAGTAAGTACAAGATCGCTCTTCTCTCTGTTGCTGAAACACTGCATCATGACGCAAAGTCATGCAGCCCATGGGGCGTGTCTCTGGGGCTTCTCCTGCAGCCTTTATGCCACAGTTGCTAGTGCCCCTTTCTCGTCACTAGGGGGTCATGGAGAACACACACTCGAGATGAGTCCCGGTCCTACTACTTTGACAAATTATTTCATCTCAGCAACACCAGCTTCCTATCAGTGAAATGGGGATACAACTACCTACTTCACAAAGTCACTGCATGGATCAAATGAGGTAAGACCTATAAAACACTGCAAGAGACTGGCTGTGCTCCCTTCTTAAAGGAACTTGTCACCCTGTACATGAGGGGAGGTTGGGAGTGACGGGCAAAGGCCCTTGCTGAGGCCCTAAAATCAACCCAAGACGCTGCTCCGCACGGCTCCCCTCCCAGCGCTCCTCGGTGTGTGCACCGCATCTGGGGAAAGCCTCTTTTGTGTTTCAAATCTTAACCACATGCCATTGGTATAAGAGAAGTGATTTGTAAATTCTGTTTAAGAAACTGCACCTTATAACTTCATAATACTTCTCTTTGGGTTCCTAGTGGACCAAAAATGAACAACTGAAGAACAGGACCAGCCTGGGCCCATTACAAATGCTGAAGTTGTCCACTCTGTCATGCTGGGGGTGCAAAGCTCTATATTTAGTCTGTGACTTCACTGAAGTCTCTTAAATCTTGTTTAGTTTTCTCATGTCCTAGTTAAGAAAGTTCAGGGACTCTTAAGTGTGGTGCTCAAGGTCAGAGGGCTATTGAGAGTAACTACTCTTTAGAGATTGTTTCTGTACTACAAACATTTAAGAAATTAGATACAAATATTTTTGATGGAAGAAATACTTTGAAAAATGCAAGTGAAAACATGCATGCCCTTGTAAAAATGCAGAAAACGCCGAAGCTCCGGCTCTTTTATCCTTACCAGTTTGCCCCTGTGAGGTGGTCACTGGAAATATTCCAGGATTGGCCTGGCGTTGGAGAGGGCAGGGTCTATACTGGCTGCTCCATGAGGAGCTACCTGTTCACAGACCTGCTAGACGCCCCCAGTTTTAGCTGCGCCACTCCACGGGCATGGCCCCCAGGGGCGTGCAGGAAGAAGGGACAGAGGACTAAGACAGCCGAGTGCCCGAGATGGCTGAGCATGCTGGCTGTGCCATCCCATATGGACTTCCCTCTTGCAGGGACTGCTGACTGTTGGTACAGATTCTCAAGTTTTCAGCCTAGTTTTTCCTCTCAACTATAATCACAGAGCTTGGCATGGCTACAAAAATCTCCTTGGACATGTTATGTAACACCAGCTCTTATAGCTATTTCTCCCTCGGCACTGACCTAGATAATTTATTTCTGCACAGCTGTGAGAGTTTGCTTCTCATTATTTTGGGCCTGGAGGTGGGTGTGCATGTGTGTGCGTTTGTGGGTGTGCATGTGTGTGTGTTTGTGGGTGTGCATGTGTGTGTGGTGGCGGATGGTCTAATTGACAAAGGATAACCATAGTGAAGTAACTGTCCACTGCATTCCCCCTCCCTCCTTTATCTTCAGCCTCAAAAGCTGCAGAATTTACCTCCAAAGTAGTAGCTGTTTCCAGAATAAATCTGCACCCGGGTGGTGTCCTGAGCCGGAGATGTGGCATCATTATCCAGAGTGAGTGTGATGCGGCTCCTCCTGGCGGTGACGCTCACCGAATGCCACAAGCCATCGTTCAGGCTGCTGCCTGCAAGACAGGGGGCCAGGTGTGGGTGACTGCGGTGGGGCAGTTCTGAGAGAGCGGCCCAGGGTCCGTCCGCTCCTGGGGGGGCCCAGTGCTTGCTCACAGTGTCCCCACTTCCCGCTGTGCTTAACCCAAACCCCCAACTGCTTCACAAAAGTCATTTTCTTCCGCTTCAAACCACTGAATTATTTTCTTTTTTAAAAGTGGCTGAACAAATGATGAGATGTTTCATTTGAAAACACAAGGGCAAAACATGAATTTGTACATATACTCCCACTAGAGGTTCAGACCCTGGGAATCAACCCATTGATCTAGAAAAGCAGAGTAAAAGGCTGAAAGAGACCCTCAAAATGGTCCCACTGGTTCTATCTCTGGCAGTTCCTCACATTTTTCTACAAATGGGTTATATTTATTTGTTAGTAAAGTAGAACACCTATTTTAAAGGCAAAAGTAGATGAAGAAAGCTAGGTTCCAATGGCGCCAGACACAGGCAATCTCCTGTTGGAGAGCTGGCAGACCGGCTCAATCCAAATCTTCCTTAACCGATGAAGTGGCCCCGACTGGGTCGCCTATTTTCTCAGCTCTGGGTTTTACTCTTCGTGGCATCACCACCCCTACGTCTGCCTTGTTCAGGGATCGAATGAGATCGGATATGAAAGCTGTTAGGACTCTTAGAGGCACAAGGGTGTCATCACAACTTTATTCTTGGGGCTTTGGGGCACCCTACACTACCAGACGACCTCACGGCCTACACAGCTTCAGCTGTTTCCTGCATGGGCTTTCCCACCAAGACTGCCAGTGCAAAGCACCCGCTGACAGACCCACGGCCATACGGGCTGGTTCGGTCCCAATGACCTGTCTGTGACAAGAGCGCGCAGCCCACGCATAGCCACTCAAAAACATGGACCGGGCCCTGCTGTCCGTTGAGTCACCTTCCGTCTGTCATTGTCTCAGTTCCTCCCCTGCAGAAAGGGACAGTGATGGCAATTAGAGGCTATCGTGAGAATTGACACCAGGGATCACAGCAGCACATCAGGACGGTTTCTGACACGTCATCACGTTGTAAGTAGATAACGATGTGAGCTAAGGCAAATGGACAGAACAGCCTTACAACAGGGTCCCTGGCATTTGGAAGTACTTTGGTAACATCTCCTGGTCTCCACAGTCCATGCTTAAGTGGAGGAGATGAATGCAAAGAGGATTCGAATTCTGCCCTTAGAGTCGGGCTAGTGGGGTAGACAGAGATGCAAGCAAATAGCACAGACAGCTTGGGGCGGAGCCGTGACATGGGGCGGTGAAGACAGAAGGCCTGACTGACTCCAAGGGAGGGCCCAGAGCATCTTCACAGAAGAGGGGATGACGGCCTAGGGGAGTTTTGAATGACAAGCAGGCATTCTGTGCTCGCAGAGCAGGAGTTGCAGGAGACAGAGAGCTTGTGTGAGGAAGCAAAGGTCTGTGACAAGAAGCAGGAGAGAACAACAAGACAGAGGGTGGGGAGAGGATCTGGTCACCCCGGGGGCCTCACTTGACAGCTAAGGAAGGGGATTCAACACTGTCCTTTGCTACATGACGCTGGAGAGCTCGCTACTTGAGCCGGTCCCCCCAGGGGCTGTGGACATGGGACCATATGAATCTGCAGTTTTTAAAAGCTCCTTGGATGATTCTGATGGGCAGCCTAGAATGAGCATGACCATGTTAGAAATGGGTGTCCGCGAGGGTCTTTAGCATGGGAATGGCCTGGCTGGAGCTGCAGGTCTAAGACTCTGGCAGCAGACGGTGAGAGGCGGGGGGATGAGGCTGGAAGCTGAACTGGTGGCTTGCCACTTGCAGTCACCCCAGGAAACAGAATGCAGAGAGTCTCAGCCAAAGCAGCCTCAGTGCAGGCGGGCAGTTGGGGATGCATCAGAGCCATTTCTGGAGGGAAACGAGATGAGACGTGGGAGCGCCTGCTGGTGCGGTCTCAGCACAAGCAGCTGGGGAGCCAGCACTGGAAGTCCAAGCAGAGGGCTGCAGAGCCGCTCAGCACAGTGACTGCACAGCTGGTGCCCAGCCCTCGGGTGGCTGGAGAGGCCGACGGGAGCTGCGGAGCACCGGCTGGGTCCCAGCTGCTCGCAAGGGCCCAGGTGGAGAGGCCCGGCCTGGAGCTCAGCCAGCTCCCCGGGCAGCTGGTCTTCACTGCAGCCCTGAACATCTGCCTGGGTGGAGGGGAGAACCCAGGGGCTGCCCAGTCTGGCAGCCTGCTTTCCCCCAGTGCCGGGGTCTGGCTTCACCGCAGGGGCTCTGCTAACGAGGGACGGGCTCCTTCAGGTGTTTCCTGCTGACATTTGACTCCTGTCTCGGGCACTGGGCACTCCGTGGGCAGCTCCGACTGCAGCTCTTCACCTTCACTTACTTTCATTTGCATGGCAATTTGCTTATATTTGCATAGTAAAGGAAACTGCGTTTGCAGAGGACTGTGGGCTGTTGGCTGGGAGGGGTAAGAACCAGATGAACACGTGAACACACAGGGCGCAGACACCCCGAGGGGCCCCACCCTGCTAAGCCTCAGGGACCAGGAGCAGCACAGAACCGAGGCTCTGGGGCGCCCGCCTGCTTTAAGGACCAGGTCTGGTCACTCACACAGGTCTGCCTGTGACCGTGCACAGCACCCACATGGGCCTGGGTTCCAGATCTGAGGCCCTGGCCCCCCACCCCCTGTCACTGGCCCACTTCCTGAGGGTCTGGTGCTCTTTCCTTCTCCTTCCTTTTCTCATTTCCTTTCTGCTCTGTGCTCTTCCTGGTTTGACCCCTTTGACCTCCACGGCCTGGTCCCATGGAGAACAAGGGTGAGACCTTAGGCTTCCAGTGGAGAGTTACGGGGCCAGCGGTTCTCAGTGCGGGCCACATGATGGCCACTGGGGGCGATGATGAGATGGGTCCTGGCCTTGCCACGTTGGTGAGGCCGACTTCCCGGTGGCCCAGGCCTGGGAGCTCAAAGGTCCCTAGGGATCCACGTGTGCCGCTGGGCAGAGGCCGTCTCTGTTACAGGCTCCAGAAGAGGAAGGAAAGAAGGTAGGAAACCCAGATGGGCTACGGGGTGAACCTGGAAGCAGATCCCAAGGCCAGCAGGGGGCATATTCCCTCTGAAGTCAGCTCTCCACCTGGGCACGTCATGTGTGCGTGGTCGTGGTGCACAGGGTGTAGCGGTATCTGAATGCACACGTGGAGGACAAGTGGGCACCCGGGTCACTTCTGAGCAACACTCTTTTAAAGGTACAGGCTCCATGCTGTTAATTCACGAATTAGGGAGCATCAGCTTCAACAGGCGGCCCTCGTCCCCAGACCTCCCTGTGATCAGTGGCTCTGGAAGAATGGAGGTCTCCACTGGGGAGAATGCAACAGCTGAGTCCAGAGCTGCCCTGAGAGGGAAAGGCCTCCAGGGAGGGGGCAGGCTGGTCAGAGCTACTTCAGGGCGTGAAGCACTCGTCCGGTCAGGAGTCCAGCCTTCAGATGTAGGATTCGGGTGCTGGAGAGATCGTTGTGTGATGACAAACATTAAGTTTCTGAACTCTAAAGTGATGTCAAGTCATATTTGCCACCCCCCAGACTGGCAAAGAATACTCAGCGATCGCTTCAGAGTGAAAGGACGAGGAGGCGGTCGAGTTTGTACCTCGCTGGTGAGCACACGTACGGACATTCTCTCTGGAGGTAATACACCAATATGCACCGAAGAAAACCCTTAGCACGTCATGCCCGTGCATTTTGTTCTAAAGACTTAATCCTAAAGTAACAGAGCTGCCGACAAAATTTATGGTCAAGAGAGTTTATGACACCATTATTTATAATAGCAAAATTCACAATTCCCAGTATTTCCAATAATAATGCTGGCTGAATCAACTAGGGTGTATGTAATAATATGAACAAGAATGCGGTCATTGAAAATCATAAGGTAAGATCATAAGAAAATCATAAGAAAAAAGTTGGGCGATGTTAAAATGACAGAAATATAGGTTATTTTTGTTTCTTTTCTTACACAGAGCTGGAATTGTGAAAGTTTCTAAGAAGAAAATGTACAACTTTTTAAAGTATTTTTTAAGACCAACTGTTTAGGCTGAGATGAAGGGCAGGTGGTTTTCAGTCCTGTCTGGCCCTTGCTGTTAGAGCGGCCACCCCGGGGTCCCCGAACCAGCCTAAGGCATTGGCGTAAAGGGTCCCTCGCAGAGAACATAGGTTGCTCTGTGCTTGCTCAGGAATCAGACCAAACCAAGACTTAAATGGCATTCTCCACTCCAAAAAAAAAAAAGAGTTTCATCCTTGCAAATGAACTTTTGAAATACAGTCCAATTATAAAAATAGCTAATAAAGCATGCTACCAGTATTGAACAGCTACATTGTGCCAGGCACTGTGTACGTTCTAATTCTCACCATGGTCCTGGAGGTCAAGTTTTATTGTCTTCATGTCACAGGTGCTAAAACAGAAAGTCAGAGAGGCTGCCCAGGATCCTACAGCCACTCAGGTACAGCCGGGCTCACCAAGAGGGTCCTGCACCCAGACTGGGCTGCTTCTCGCCCTGCCCCCAAAGCCAGCCCTCCAGCCTCCAGGAGTCACTGCGATGCCCAGGCACCTCTGCAAAGCCTTCTCCTGCTGGTGCGTTCAACTCTGCTTTTATTTATTATTATTTTTGGCACAGCTTTAGTAAGATAAAATTAACTTACTGTACAATTCATTTATTTAGAATTACAGTGTGATGCTTTTTAGTATATTAACTTTTAGGCAACTGTCACCACCATTAAATTTAAAGCATCTCATAACCCCCAAGAGAAATGCTGCATCTTGTGGTCATCGTCCCCCCTCCAGCCCTGACCTACTTTCTGTCCCTATAGATCTGCCCATCCTGGACCGTCCATAGGTTGAAATCATACATCACGTTCCTATGGGACTGAAGTCTTTTGCTTAGCATAACATTTCCAAGACTGATCGGCTGCTGCAGCTATGTCCGTATGTCTGCGTCCCTGGATGGGAC